GATTTTCTAATGTTTTTTTTTTCTTTTTAGAATTGGACAATAAAAGATTGATTGACTGATTGACATAAAATCAATATTAGTAAGGAAACATGTTGAAAAATAAATAGGCCCTACACATCGTTTGGCTCTCCTATCACAGAAACTACAACGCACCATAGAGCAAAGAACATGCGCTATCAAAACAGATGCTTTGTGGTTTAATCGGCACATAGGCCTCATCCTGGTAGTCAAATCCCTAATGATCCAGTGTTTTTGCTTAATAATTATAGTACATTATTGTTTTTTTATTATCATATTGCATTATAAACTTTTCAAAAAAATTTTAAAAAATAATGTAGGCCTATATTTCGAAATATAGACAACAAAACATTATTTGTAAGGGTATAATATAAGAGAATTTTGTGACTGCTTTATCTCATTTGTTACCCAGGGTCACAAATGAGAAGGAAAAATAAGAAATAACCAGGATGAATAAAAAAGAAAGGAAAAGAAAGAAGCGCAAGGAGGACAGAAAGATGATAAAATAAGAAATTTGAAATATGGGTTTAAGAAATGAAGATGAAGGGGTGAGTCATGAGAGGGTAAAAAAGATAGAAAATTAAAGAATATAGGTGAGAAATGATATTTTATTTCTTAAAACGGTGAAATGCAACCCCTGTTATATTCAAACAAAACCGTATTGCATTTAAGTTTTTGAACGTTTTATTGGGAATATCTTAAGATTTAGTTAGCATTAGGCTATCGCTGGGTTTAGTAGCTATTCAACTAATTTCTCCTCAATTTGTACTTTCATTAACTTTTCACATTTTTATCAATGTTAATCTGTATTTTAAATGCGAAATAAATAATAAATGAATAAATAAATAAGACTACACGGAAGTACGTTAACAGCAATATCAGCAGTAACACCGTGTATCATTGATAGTGTTAATTAGTACAGTAGACCTACTTCAATGTTTGCATTGGTAAGGTACGACGAACGACCTTTGTTAGTCAACAAACGGTTAAATGCAACTCCATCCCCTGTTGTTAATTCAAACGGATAATATCAGTGTTGTATTGAATTGTAGCGACAAGCCTACTGATGACGTGCGAAATTACGTACAAATGATTCTTTGAAATTATTATTGTTTAGTTCCTTCCTGGTGTCAGGGATAACCAACCATTTCGAATCACGGGAAAAAACATAACATCTGAAGTTAGGGTTGTGACTCATAAAGTGCTCAAACATGTGAGCGCCCTCTGATTTTTGGGAACGATATCTCCGAATACTGTACTGTACGCTGAGAGCAATGCTGAACTTATAAGTTTAATAGATGACAAATAAGAGGAAACCTATTCAATAATCATTAATTAATTTAAGGCTAATTTTAATATATTCAATATTGGCTTCTAGACATCTACAACATCTTCATCATCAATATATTATCATGCTTTAAACACAGAATATACGCATACTTTTATTGAACCACAAGAAACTTGCACTACTTGTTTGATGTGTTTATTTTTGTTCTGTATTTTATTGTTAACATCTTTAAAAATTAGAGTAGAACATACCCTTAAATAAGAATATTCTTATCACTCTGTTAAGAATATATTGAATTATTACTATGAAATTATTCTATTTATCTAGTACAATAATTATTCTGGTTTCTAACCGCTGGATGAAGAATTTGGTGATAACCAACGGGAAGGGTTTTGCAGCCTCACCATCAGATTTTAAAACATTTCTTCTTGTTCGTTTTCTCTAAAGCTAAATCATCATCGAATGGAAAAAATTACGATTAGAATTTGTGTCAGAAAATATCATAGGAGTGATGTTTTGCCCTACTGACGTGTGATCTTCCCGAATACTCAGTACGTCCCTAAATACTGGCGAAAAATTCGCAAGTGATTCGGGTGGGAATCGAACCCACGACTTCCAGCTATCTAGTCAGATGTTAACCACTACCGCCGAGCTTGCGATTAGTGGACTAGTGATGAATCCGATCCCCAAGTAGCAGCGTCCGTGTTTTCCATTACAATTTTTAGTACAATAATTCCTTTGGTTTTTTAAACTTTTATTGGTACCGTAATAATTCTTAGGATTTATATCTTTTTTCTTTAAAAATAAAAATAAGAACCAGTAAAATTTGCCCAGGCTCAGCGTTCTTATTCTTTGGCCAATTTCAGGCTCAAAATGTTCTTAATTTTCACACTTTCCAAACATAGAAAATTATTATTCTACAGCAGTATACTACTGTACTGGAATGTAGTTAAAAATGGCCCCAAATGACAGGTACGCCTACTGTACTGTATTATAGAGGGTACAGTATTTTCCTCCATGGTATTGCATAGTCACACCTCTCACTGTACATAAGGTACAGATAATTTTGTGGCTTTCCTATGTAAAAAAAAAAAAATGTGGCTGTCCTCTGTAAAAAAAAAAAAAAAAAATTAAAAACCTCATTTGAAATTTTACTTCAGCCTCAACTTGTTCTTAATTTTTAAGCAATTTCAGCCTCAGTGTTTTTATAAAATGTGTTCTTATTTAAAAAAAAAAAAAAAGTGTAGTTAGCATAAGGCTATCGCTGGGCTTTCCAGTAGGGTATATTCAGCTAATTTACATCTCACTTTGTACTTTTATGATCTTTTAACATTTTGATCAATGTCTAATCCGTATTTTAAGTGCGAAATAAATAAATCGACTACACGGAAGTAAGTTAACAGGCCGCAACATAAGCAGTAACGCCGTGTAATTATAGTTTTAGTACACTTCATTGTAGTATCGGTAAGGTACGACGACCTTTGTTAGTCAAACAAACGATGAAAAACAACTCCATCTCCTTGATCAAACAGATAATAACAGTACAGTATTGTATTGAAGTGTATAGCGACTAGCCAAACTAAACTGATGACGTGCGAAAATTACATTCAAATGATTCTTTGAAATTATTGTTTAGTTCCGTCCTGGTGTCAGGGATAACCTAACTATTTTGAATCACGAGGAAAAATATCTTAAATTGGAGTTGTCGCTCATAGAGTGCTCAAACGTGTGAGCGCCCTCTCCTTTTAAGAAACAATACTGTATTTCTGTACTGTACACTCAGGGCCGGATTAAGTGGCTGTGGGGCCTAGGGCTGTAACTGCAAGTGAACCTTAATAATTTCCCTGGGGTTCTGGGGAATATTTTCCCCCATTGGCGCCTCTGGTCTTTGGGCTGGCGCTCCAGAAGCCCCTATGTTAATCTGGCCCTTTGTACACTGAGAGCAATGCTGAATTAAAAAGTTCAATTTCATTTTTAATATATATATGTATAAGTATGTATGTACGTATGTATCTGTCTCTTATACACATCTAGATGTGTATAAGAGACAGTATATATACATATACATACACATTGGGTGGTGATGTATGTTTACTGTATGCACGTAATGTGTATTATGAACATTGTTTGTGTGGGGAGGGTGATGGATGTTTATGATTTATTTAAACTCTAAATTGTATTTTCTTTAGTTAAGTTCTTTCATTTGTTTAGCTTTAAGTTGTTGTTTTCCTCTTTGTTCATTAGTTTGACTGCGCCACTTTTTTGTGTGCTGCCACTGCTGTAAAAGTGTAATGTCAAATAAATATTATTATTATTTTATATCAAGAAATAATAGAAAAGTTATTCGATAATCATTAATGAATTTAAAGCTAAAGTCAACATATTCAACATTGGCTTCTAGACATCTACACAATTTTTATATTCAATACAATCATGATCTGAACACAAAACTTATTGGCATACTTTTTAAAGATTGTAGACCAAAACAAAAATTGAATTCCTACAGTACTCTGTTTGATGTGTATTGTACTATGAACATTTCTAAAAAAGACTACAACATACCTTCAAATACAAATATATTTATATCTTATTCTAATCACTCTGGTTGAGATTATATTGGATTATTACTATGAATATATTCTCTTTATTTAGTACAACAATTATTCTGGTTTCTAGGCTGCCGCCTCTGGATGAAGAATTTGGTACAACACCGGGCAAGGTTTTGCAGCCTCACCATGAGAGTTTTAAACATTTTTTTCTTTTTCGTTTGTTTCTCTAAAGCTAAATCATCATCGAATGGAAATCAGTTTGGTTATCATTGTACTTCTTTCTTTGACAAATAGAATGAAATCTAGAAAAGTCAATATAACGCTCAATGTCTGCAAGCGTATCCTCACAACATGCTTTCAAATTGTCTGTTGAAATGTTTTTAGTCCTTTCCTGGTGTCAGGGATGAACTACAAATATTTGCGTACGGGGAAAATCATAACGTCATCTTGGGTCAACTGACGTCCTACTGTACCTCAAACATGACTGTGGCCTCTTTTCAGCTTAATTTCTGTCCACATACTATTGTTTGACCAACTTGTTTCTTTTTTTCTTAATTTCAATTGATGTACGTAATTTCGGTATCAGTGCATAGACCTATATTTATTATAAATATGTTACGAGAGAAAAGAATGAAGCAAAATGCCATGGAGAATGAAAAAAAATGTATAGAGTGTTGTAAGAAAATAATAAAATAATAAAATAGTGTAGATTTTATGCCGTATCCATCTAAGGGTGTGTTCACTTACACGGCGTAATATAAGATGCTCAGGGCGCTTGATTAATTCATTTCATTTACATCATCTTTCAATCACAAAACAGAAAACAATTATTGTAAGCAACAATTATTTAAGAAGTACGGGATCAAGAAGTGAGCTAAATATCGAGAGATTCTCCAGCCATTAAAACCGAATATCAAATACAAACAAATGTGTACACGAATTTAAAATTACATTCCATTCATGGGGTCATTGCTGGGATTGTTTTGTTTTCGATTAATTAACATATTATACAACAGATGAAGACAATATTTCTCACCCATTTTTAGTGTCGCGTAATATTAATTCTGTAAGTTCTGTCTGTACTGCTTTAATTTAAAAGAAGGTATATAGCTAATGGTGACGACATAATCACAAATCTAGACAAATTTACTAAATAATTAGTTTATTTGTTTGCCAAAAAATAGCTAGTAGCGTAAGCAATTATTCACTGATACGAATATGTAATATTTCGGGAAATAATTTGCCGAATATAACTGAGAAGAATGCTAACATATTAAAGAAATAAGATTTCATTTTTTCAAACAAATTTGAACGATCATATAAATTTACACTTATAACCAATCCAATGGCCTAATTAATACAGTAATAGGCCTATACCATATAAACATTCGACATGTGCATCATTGTGGTCTAGTGGCCAGGCTAAGTTGTGACATACTTTGTAGCATATTGCATTAAAACAGAAATAATAATCGATATTAACAATATAAATGCATTAAAAAAGAAATGGAAAAACACTGTTTGCTCTCTTATCATAGTGAAACTACGAAACACTTTAAAAAACAAAGGATTATTGTACACTATTCATTATTATTACTAAATATTGCATAATAAAATTTTCGGAATTGTAACAGCAAAACATAATGTAAAAAATATATGAGTATGGTGACTCCGAAAAATGACAGACAAGAGGAACAAAATGATATAAGAAATGACAACAGCACTTTTAAGACTAACTTGATTTTAAAATGTATTCTCCAGCTTTTGTCCACAAGTGGACTTCATCAGGAGATTGTGCAAATTGGATGCGTCCTGATTAAGTCCACAGATTAATGTGTGAAGAATAATACATTCTATACAAATTAGTGTTAAAAGTACTGTTGTCATTTCTTACGTTGTTCTATAGAAGACCAACGCGGCTACACTTTTTATTCATGATAAAATAAGAAATTTGCAATCGCCGGGGGGGGGGGGGGGGTGAATGGGTGAGTCAGTAGAGGGTAAGAAAATAGGAACATGAAGAAAAAGGCAGAAAGATACCAAATAAGATAATGATAATAAGATGATGTATGGAAAATATAGATAAATTAGATAGAAAAATGATAATTACAGAAAGACGAATGGTTAAAAAAGAGATGAGGTAAGGATTTCCACTGCAAGTGTGACACACCTCATTGAATGAGTGTTATTACCAATACTTTAAAAATTTAATGACAAAATACTAAATAGTTTGAAGCAAAAATAAGCAAACAAAATATATTCCAGTATGTTGAATATATTCCTTAAGTACCTAGTTACAAGCTCTATAATTTAGGCCTACAGTGGTGTGCCAAGAAAACAGGATTGCAAGCGTGGAATATGGAGTAAGCTTCTCTAATCTGAATAAATACATCAATACACTGATAAGGGTAACAAATACTTTATAAAACTTTAAAAATGCCAAAATAATTTTGTATACAAAATATTATGTTCGATGCATATATATATTTGGGCGATCCAATTTTTTTCTTTAGTTTACTTTCCAAAAGGGGGAGACCCACCCCCTAAATAACCCCCTGCTTTAACATGTTAAGAGTGGTGGGAAAACCGGACGTCGACGACCTTCACCCCCTATGGATCCGCCCATAAAATAATCATTTTTTAAAGCTCAGTTGGCCAAATACTGCACATTCTAAAGCAAATATTAAATACGGTTTAGTCTTTAACTGTAATTTTAGAAAGACGTTTGCAAATTATTATATTTTAAATATAGCCAATAATAATTGTGGTTATAAAGTCAAAGCAGGTAAGATACTATGCCTACTGGTAAACATATGGTAAATAGATTATACAATAAATGCTAAAATGTTGTGAATGATGTAGTCTATAATAGACTTCCTTTTATTTATTTATTCAAGAATACTTCACATATTGACTTATTTTAGTGATTAACATGGTCAATATATTTTATTCCATTATATTTCGTAAAAATACACGAGATTGTGTCAGTCGCACTCACTGAAGTGCCACTTACCTACTGAATACTCTGCTGCTTTTACTGTACAGTACGAACGGAATTTGTATAATGACTTCTCACACATGCTGCTTTTGTAGCGTGACAAGACATCGTCCAATATTTATTATTAATGATAATTTAATAGACATGCATATAAACTCAAAATATGCCAATAATGGTAAGATATTTGCTACGATATATTTTTTCCAGAGTATATTTCTTCCAGAGCTGTGCACGCGTCTGGACGGTAAATCGGCACAAACATGTTGTCCTTACTCAAAATAGTACATGATTATATAAACGTCCAAGTTCGATATATGGGATTCATTACATTCAAACGTTTGTCTAGTCTAAAATTATAAACGGTTATAAAGGTTGTTAAAAAAGTATATTAAAGTGTTGTCTAACTATGTGCTTTGTCAACTTCATCATATGCTACCTTTTCTAAGCATAGTATTTTAAATATAATAATAATATATATGAATCTACGTGAGTTATGTATGATATTTGGAGTGACACGTGACTTAAGCCCTGTCCAGACTATCAAATGTTATTTTTAAAAACACGTGACATGTCTAAATATGGTCTGATGACATCATTATCATCACCAAATAGGCACATCATGATTTTACGTGGACATACTACATATTTTGTAAAAAAAAAAATCATAATCTAGGCAGAGCTTAAAACAATTCTTGGATTCGTGGTTGTACAATCATCAGTGATAAATTTCGCTGTGATTATAATGACCCTTGCACAAGTAACAAGCATTCACTCCAACCAGCTACTGCTCTCTCTACTCTTATTTCTTTCTCGGCATCGCATTAACATGAGCTGTTTCTTCTTCTCTATGTTGTAGATCTTGGTAAGTTTGGTCTTTATTGCCAGCAGTTGGATCATCTACTACGTAGTCCATGTAAGTCTGTATTGAGATATGAAACGTAATATATCAACGCAATTTAGGTCATTGCTACTTGTTGGTAAATTGATATTTGGTAATACTGTAGTGTGAATTAAAAGGAAAAAATGAATACAATGAGGGAGTTTCAAATTCCTTTAGAATAGATAAATATTATGTGCAATAATTTATAATCATTGTTTCAAAAGTCGCAAAGAAGTAGGATAAATACCTATTTGCAATACTTTATTATCACTCTGTATAAAACAATACATTTTACAATTTTACAATAATTTTCATTAATCCGTAGAATACAGCTGCCATTTGGCCTGTTTTAGTGGTAGAGTAGAGTTTGTTTGTCCCCTACAGACCAGCGCGATAGCATGCTACTGATTGTAGGAAGGAGGACCAGTGAAAAAAAAAAAAAAAACTACACCTAGTCCGGGCCCTATCAGAAATGTGAATACAAACTATCTACCAGAATCATTTGACAAAACAGTAAGCCTATGAAATTTACAGAAGCAGGCTTTGTGCACGTGACATAAAGAGGATATGTGACAAAGATGAGGTGAATTAGAATATTAAGAGCTTACATCTAAGTTCTGTCTCTGGTTCGCACTCCTCTTGCCTATTTGTGCCTTCTGAATTGAAATAAAAAATAATTATTGTTACGAATTTACAGTAATTTCTTTCTGTCATTCTATTTTTTGTTTGTTTCTGTCTTTAGTATTATGTTGCCAACACACATTGTTATTTGTTTATTAAACCATGATTAAACTGCTCATTAGACAGCGGAAAGCCCGCCACAAAAAAAAAAACAAAATGAAACTTTAAACTACCTTTAACACTACGACAAACAAGAAAAAACAGTAGAAGTTTACTTTGTAGGCCTACTTGTGAAAGACCATTTGTCCTTTTCCTATAAATTTTCAACCCGTTAAAATAAATCTGTTCATTTTCAAAAGTCACTTTGCAGCCATTAGGCCTGATTTGCATGACACATAATTTTGTACAAGATTGCTTATTTTAATTTGGATCATTTGACTGAACAGAAATGGGAGGGGGTGTTATGTATTAATGTGTTGAAGGCACACTATTAAATATATCACGAACAACAATTTGATTTGGTATCTCACAAACCCGTTTAATCCTCGTGTAGCCGATCAATCCACCAATTACCGTTCCGAAGGCCCCAACAATTATACCACCCACAAACAACATTCCAATTGTCAAACTTGTGCCTGGAAGGGATGAAGATATAACAGTAAATGTCATACAACTTCAATCATAATAATGCGGTTTGGCGCAGTGGGTGCAGTTCTTCTCAATTTCCCTGTACATTTCGCCTGTGTCCTAGTCGCTTTACATACGGTTGTCTCTCTTCATCCAGGAGTAAAAGTGGGTGTATGGTAATCGCAAACAGAAAATTTGCTTTCAGTGCTTTACCCTCTATCAATTCAGTAGTCAAATTTATGTTATGCCAAAACTCGATAAGCGAAAGCTTTTATTTTTTGTCTGAAAATAATTATGTTTATTGTAAATATGTGTTTGAAGAAATAAAATAAATGACAATAAAGAGAGATGTAGAAATGCGCAGATCTTACAGCTCCGCATCAATGAATTTTCTCTAGGGTACGTATTACTAGTATATGCGATTAATTCAATGCCGGATTTTATAGTGTGAATCGCTATAGGCTATAGGTCTAAGTTTAACATAATTATTTTATTTCATTTTATTTATTTATTTTCATTATTTTATTATAGAATGTTTAATGAAGTATATTCAAGTAGGGAAGTAACAACACCAATTACAACGATAAATCAAAATAATAGATGATGATGTCGATTGGTGGTGATAATGACGATGATGATGTGCCACGGTTTTAGTTTCCTTGTTTGTTTATTTGGCATATTATTCAGCATATTACTTTTTTCTTCTAAAATTTTTCAAGAAATAGCAATTCCGACATTTTTTTTTATTCCACTTGCTCTACCAAAAACTTCACTATTTAAAATATTTTAAAGTAGGGGCCTACCTATCACTTCTTTTCGTTTGCAGCCGTGGTAATAAAAGAATTACATTGTATCATATCATAAAATATTTCTTTAGAAACCTTATGGTTATAGGAACTTTTGTCCCTCCGTGTTGTTTTCTAGTCAATGTTAAAATGAAGGATAATTGTAAGAGCGTGCGACTCTCGTGTAAGCGTTGGGCTTTCAATCTTCGGGTCGGGATTCGAGACTGATGGTCATCACACTGCTTGTGTTTGGGCAAGACACTGCCTGCCTCTCTTCACTCAGGAGTATAAATGGGTATCTACCAGAATCATTTGACAAACAGTAAGCCTATGAAATTTACAGAAGCAGGCTTTGTGCACGTGACATAAAGAGGATATGTGACAAAGATGAGGTAAATTAGAATATTAAGAGCTTACATCTAAGTTCTGTCTTTGGTTCGCACTCCTCTTGCCTATTTGTGCCTTCTGAATTGAAATAAAAAATAATCATTGTTACGAATTTACAGTAATTTCTTTCTGTCATTCTATTTTTTGTTTGTTTCTGTCTTTAGTGTTATGTTGTCAACACACATTGTTACTTGTTTATTAAACCATGATTAAACTGCTCATTAAACAGCGGAAAGCCCGCCACAAAAAAAAAATGAAACTTTAAACTACCTTTAACACTACGACAAACAAGAAAAAACAGTAGGTAGGTGAAGGATTCGCAATGAAATTACTAATGCTGATTATACGCATACACCTTGAATACTTCTTCCATAATTCAATAATACGCTATATATACGTTAATGAATAAGGAAATAAATATTTTTTTGTTAAGTCGTATTATGGAATTACAATCCTTCCCGTGTCATTATTAAATCGAAACAGCAAGCATATTCTAGTAAAATTGATGTTACGTAATTAGTGATTTTAGTTTTACATAAGACTGACTAAATCCTCTTGGCCCCCTGGGGAGCATAGGGTGTCCACCATGAGTCTCCATCTCACCCGTCTCTGTGCCGCAGCTGCGGCTTCCCCCCATGTAATATTGATATTTTTCAGGTGTCAGTTAGAGACGACGCCAGTTCTTCCTGGGTCTGCCCTGTTTTCTTTTCCACTGCGGGTTGTAGTCTAGGGCCTGTTTGGTGACATTTATAGGGTCTTTCCTTAAAGTATGGCCTATCCATCCCCATGGCACTTCATTCTCCTTATTAGGTTGCTGAGTTTTACATAATATTGAAAAACCTTAAATGTGTTATAAAATATATTTGAAGCAACATAAAAAATAAAATGCTGTACATGTGATGAAATGTCCACAGTAAATAAAAAAAATGTTCACGATTACAATTGCTTATTGATATGATGAAAAGCAGTAGCCTAATTTCGTGTCATTTACGATACTCACTGTTAACACTATTTTCACAATATCTCCCACTGTAGCCTGGTTTACATTCACATGTAAACTCAAAATTAGCAGATATACAAGTCCCTTTATTTCCACATGGACTAGAAACACAATAGTCAACGCCTTTAAAAAAATAAGGTACATTATATTAAATATATCATTGATTGTTATAAGTTATCCTATGGATTGTTCACTCTTTAATTGTTTTTCTATAGCACCACTTATTGTTCTTTTTAATATGGCAGTGGTAGTGGTGGGTGGTGGCAGAAGCAGTAGCAGTAATATTGGTAGAAGGAGAAGAAGGTGGAGGTGGTAATGAAGGAGGCCAAAGAGGAGGAATGTGGAATTGTAAATGATGTAATATAGACGAGGTTTGCATGAGTATAACTTTTTAGAAAACAATTTGAAAGCTGACGACAAACTGCACTGCAAATCGTTCTGATCAACAAATGTAATTATAATCACTAGAGGATTACGATAGGCAAAGAGTACTGTTGTTTTGTAAAACAGAAAATATTAATAATAATCTCTAAAATCTATATCCGATTAAATCAATTTTTGAGTACCGGTAATTTATTGTGCAGTGAAATTATTTAAAACTTAAAATTTTCTTTCTCCATTCATACAATAAGCACGCATTTAAAATAGTGCAAAAATCAGTTTCAACTTATTTAATTTATGAACTTAAAAGCATACTTAAGACTTCGATTAATTTGATTGCTGATCCAATGTTATTAGTAGCATTCACTGTTACTGTATAGTTTGTGCCAACAACGTCTGATGCCTTGAATGTGAAGGTTCTTGGGTCTGTATCTGTGTCATTCAATTCAGTGATCCATTGGTAAGTAACTTCATTAGGATTAGCTAAAACGACTGGTGCAATAGTGGCATTCTCACCAGGAGCAACAGTAATGTAATCAACATATTCAGGTGGATCTAAATACACAAGTAGAATAATGATTCAAGATAATTCTGAATGAATCGTTTTAAGTATCTTTTGATTTGCAGAGCCGAACGATCTCAAGCTCAATGTGATCTTGCAGCGTACAGGATTCAATGTAATCTTTACTACACCGTACTCTAATGAGGCTCGAGCCGAACTTCATACCTTCAATCTAAGATCGATGGATGTGGTACCGGGGTGGCGCCAGCGGGGGTTTCCTCGAGGGGGGCACACACAACAATTCATCGGGGCGAAAAAAAATTATATGTATTTTCTACATATTAGTAGACTCTAAAATCGATAAAATAAGCCTTTTAAACCCATAAATTGTTAAAATTTTCAGGAGTTTCGCCCCCTGCAGCACCTTCAAAACATTTTAATCGAAACTCGACCACGCCCACATTACTTTCGTCGGGGAAATCTGACCCCTCGTCGGGGGCATCGGCCTCCTCGTCGGGGACCTCCCCCCCCCCCGATTAAATAAGCCCTTGAAACCCCTAAATTGTTAAAATTTTCGGGGGCTTCGCCCCCTGGACCACCTTCAAAACATTTTAATCGAAGCTCGACCACGACGCCTACATTGCTTTCGTCGGGGGAAATCTGACCCCTCGTCGGGGGCAGCAGCCCCCTCGTCGGGGACCTCAGCCCCCCCCCCAGTCGGAATCCTGGCGCCACCCCTGATGTGGTAGTGATCCGGGAGCTCTGTTCAAGATAGACAACAAGCTACTTGGGAAGCAAACCGCCTGCATATACTTTTAAAAAAAAATGTAAAGTCCATCCATCTTCACCCCTTTTCATATCTAACTACATGTACTCTCAAAATCTTTGATATTTATCTTAAAACTGTTGCTAAATTCATGTTTCTTTTCCACCGTTAACTTTCGCCATTCATCTTTGGCAGTTATTTCCAAACAGTAGAATCACACCACACTCTCAATATCAGAAATATAAATCAGTTTCGCATTAATTTTAAAAGAACTAAAATAGGCTCAACAATGGATAACATACCAAAGTGTAAGAATATGGAATAACCTCTCACAACTATTGAAATCTCAAAATCACATTTCTTTTTTCAAAAGACAGCTCCATAATAATACTCAACAATAAGTATTTGTAATTTTTTTCTTTTAAACGTTTTTATTTCAAACCTGAAACCTTTTGTAGAAACACCGGGATTGTCCGGCAGGGTATAGTTTTACCAGCTGTAGTTAAGTTAGTTAAGTCGGCCCTTCTGTTTTGTGCGGGGGATTCATATAAATAATACTTATATTGATAATATAATTGGGGAGCATGATATGTGGACTATGAACTCGATCAATTACTTTTTTTTTTACCCTTCGTCCCTTCGTGTCTGTGCTACCCGTTATTAGCAACTCTGGTCGTCCATTACGGGGGCTGTATTTTCGAGTAAACCGATGTATCCAACTTCTCGTCTCGAAAGATGTGCTGGGTTCTTTATAGTGCACACGAGCCGTTATATACACTGTTTATAGTCCTTAACCGAGAACCACCAGAACCGTTAGGCGAGCGTGCCGTTCGAACCAGAGCGCCGATATCATGGATGTAGCTCGCAGCGCCCCTAACCGCTCAGCCATTCGACTCGCATATTATGTAAAAGCTCTGCTTTGTTTTTCATTTTTGCCATGTTACTTATTTAATATTTAATTTAATGTTTGAATTGCTTTAGAATAAATTTTATACTGCAGGTTCTTTGCAAAGGAAAATTATCCTTGTCAGTGTTCCTTGATTTGTCTGTCGCATTCGATAAAGAGCCTGTTCTTATCAGTACACTTTCAAATTTAGGTATTTCTGTACAGTGTGTCGTGGTTCAATTCTTAACACGTGTGTCGTGGTTCAATTCTTAAAAACAGTCTGTTGGAGCGAAATATGCTGTCTTATGCCCCGTTCCCATTAATTTGATGTCCCTCAAGGTACTAGTTTGGGTCCCAATTTTGTTTCTCATTTACACGCTCCAGAACGTTATCCATAGACATGCCATTATATATCACATCTACGCTGACGATCCTCAGCTATACCTCCATGGCTATACGCATTCTTTAGTCCTCAGGCTGCCTCCGAGACAATTCGTAACTTAAAAGCTAATTGCATTTATGAAGTACATGCATGGTTGTCTTTTGTAAAAGACATTTTGTAAGTAAGATTGTTTTTAATAATTTATAATGCAGTCGAATTTGATTTCCTTGGGTTCAATACTCTGTTTCACATGGGTAGCATTCTAAATGACTAAATGAAGCAATACATTATTCAATTTTATGAAATTCCTTGTCATACTGCAATATGTTGAAGGGATCCGTCACAAAATCACTGCTGGTGTTTACTTGGAGAGCCAAGATTTACCATTATTCTATAGAAATGCATATATTTGATTTAATGTTCATTATTATTTCAATTTCTGATAAAAGCAAGTAAATCAGAATAAACTGAATTTGTAATGAACAGTAGGCCTAATTATTGCTGACTCGCACATTTACACAAAATCAATTCAAATGATACTGATAATTTATGTTGCATTATATATAGGTATATCAATTTGTTATGCATGATTATTTGATTCATCTGTTGAATAAATTAAGCTATGTGCTGGAATATAAAAGGACTTCGAGCGGGTGGCTCAAGGTCCATTGTTGAAGCCGACGGAACGGTATAATATTGTTGTTTGCACAGGCCATGTTGATTAAAGTATGATTCAAGTAACTTCTAGTTCTTAGTCATTATTTCAATGTACGGAACGATAAGAATTTAGAGTAAATTGCACTTGAATCTGCTGTCAAATCTACTTTAAATTACCAAACACCGGAAAAGGTTTTTTCATTTCATTAAAAATATACGTCAACGACTGAAGAAGTATACTGTACCAAGATTGCATCTCATTAAAACAAATCTTACATTGTATATGCTATTCTTGTTGGCATAGGCCTATATAACATCGACAGGTTTGATGTACTTGTGATTTATTGGCATTTCATTGGTGTCTCGTCATGCTCAGATAAATGTGTATGACACAGATATGTTTGTAATTGTTTAATTTTCTGGTTTAATTAAAAGGAGAATAAAATTTATCTAGAAACCATATGAACCTATTTTATCAAATATTGTTATACTTACAGTAATTGAGAACTTTTGTTTCACTTTGTTTAGTTAAATTAAATCTGTCTGTCGCTGTACATTTGTAGCTTCCTCCATCACTCTCTGTTACTATGTCTATCTTATGCATTAGAGGTGAATCATTTTCTGTCTTTATAACATGGCCATCCATAAAGAGACATATTTCGTGAAGTTGAGTGCCATTTGCAGAACATTTGATTGTGACATTTTTGGCAGCAGTGTAAGAACTAATATAAATCGTGACATCTAAACCTGCAAGAAAAATGAAAATTATTTAATAACCAATAATCAGAATTTCCAACACTTCTTTTACTTACTTTCTTTCTGTACAAAGATATGCTGCATAGACAATAATAACTAGTCTTTTTTAAACAACCTGAATGGAAGAAGGAGAGATTAAACGCTACAAACAGAATCTGTCTAACTCCTACACTCCGCCAAACTAAACACAGCCATTGCTTTCCATGCCAAGGACTCCAGGCATTCAAAGATACATACAAGTAGTATTTAACCAAGAACTCTCAAAGAATGGAATGTATTACAACGAGATATCATCTCCATTGAAGACCCCAATGTTGTCACCACAGCTGTGCAAAAATACTTAGTCTGTTGTCTTATGTTAGACAAATAATAACGCAAAGCGTGAAGTAAGACATTGCCAATATTTATTAGAAATAATACATTTCGAGCATAGCTATTCATCAGGTAATGACACGGATGTCAACGCCGGAACTTATAAGAAGCATACTTTATTACAAAAGACATAAGATAAAAGCATGGGCGTGAATACTGTACCTACAAACTGTTGAATGATGATAAAACAATAGAACCGCTAAAAAACGGTTAACATAATGAAGCCGTTAATGCCTAAATATAGTAAAGCCGTCAATCCCTAAATCAACTAAGTCAACTGGGAAGCAAAAACATATAGGCCTATGCCTAAGTTAACATATATGGATTAATAATAGAATATATATTTTTTAAGATTACAGCACTAATATTCTTACTTTTGTATGTATATATATATAGGCCGAAACGGATCCGTCTGCAGATATTGGGATTTGAGTCTCCTCTGTGCAGATTCGCTTGTGTCCTTGGGCAAAGCACTTTAGCTACATTGCTTCAGTCCACCCAGCTGTATCAATGGATACCAGCAAACTGCTAGGAACTAACCTGTGATGGACTAGTGTCCCGTCCAGGGGGAGTACAACTCTCATCCGCTTCACACTACAGAAACTGGGGATAAGCTCCAGCCCTATGAGCCCCAGTGGCTTGGAAAGGATTTAATAGTTATATATATGTGTATTATATCACAACACGATAGGGTGTACTTTGATGCATTGTATTAATGAAATTTACAATTAATGTGATTTCAAATTTTCTTGTTTTTGGCTTATAATTGTATATATTCTCAGTTTGCTTTAATGATTGTTTTTTGTTTTTTACATCATGTACTTATAACTTCGTATAATTTCTATTTAAGTCAAAACTTTCTTTTGAAAAGTTTCTCCGTATATAAATAAAGTTGTTATTATAATTTATTATAAATTTAACAATATTTTCAAAATAGATACGCTATTTTTTATTTAAGAAAAATAATACAAGACGTCAATAATATCAATCTATTTTACCAATCAGATTGCATTATTCAATAATGTATGTAACCTTAGCAACCACATATCAAAGGTGGTTTGTTGCAGATCCTTCATTGGAAATCTGTAGTTACAATATCCTGATCATCAATAAGGTAATATTAATTTACTTGTTTGTCTCAAAGCTCTCCTGTTTCCAAAAACCTAATGCGGAATGCGGTTTAATTTCAAAGGTTTTAAAAAAAAATGTTTTAATACAAATATGATAGTATTTTTGTTGTTAAACTGAGTTTTAAAAGGTCCGTTACAGGACTCTCTTCACTTAAGAATTATACAATGTGTTATAGGCTATTAAAGGAGGTTGCAATTCAATGACATATTTTTAAAAAAACATGTCACATTTTTAGGTGTAACCAACATGCATTAATTTACTAAAGCGCGCAGGAGCTTTACAATGAAATTAATATGACTTTATCTATATACATTAATAATCAATAATAATCATATTGAAAAATTCATCAAACCTGTATGCAGTATAAAATTATCATGACAATACAGTAAGTAAATAATTATATATTTCAACAATATTTAAACAAGACCAGCCACAACTGGCTTATCTGGAATTTAAGCTATGACTTACAACATACGAACAAAAGAAAAGTATGAGTAAAATACCATATTTTTAAATCAAAGTGTTAATGTTTAATATTTCTTATTTCGAAAATAATGTTTCAAAGTTACTATCCGACACATTAATCTTTCTGAAAACTTGGAGAATATTATGTAAAAGTTATTAATTATAGAATGGTAATAAAAAAAAAAAAATCTTGAGCAAATTATCTAGGTATAACATTTTGATTCTCATCATCTTGTCATGTTGTGCCACTAATGTGACTGAATCATTGACTAGTGCATCCTATATATATATATATATATATATATATATATAGAAAACAAATGGCATGATCGAAAATTTGAACAATATTTTGATCAAACTGATTTAATTGGGAAATTAAAGTTAAAAAAAAAAAACAAAAGTCCCACTATCCACCTCTCTGTGATTGAACATATATATATTGAATATTCTTATTAGTGCATTCTTGGTTGTAACAGCCCTGTTGCGATCAGGTAGTTGGCTCTTGTGGGCATTCCGTTTTCCGTACGACTGTTGCAGGAGAAAGGTGTATCATCTAGAGACTGATGATGTTCTTTTTGTCATAGAGAAAATAGAACTATTTTCTCTATGTTTTAGTTTTAGCTGATTTCATTATCTTGTTGTTTTGATGTCTTTCTTTTTGATTGTAATTTATATATTTTTTCTTGTTGTTAGGATGCACCACCCTTGTGGTTGAGTGCCACCGGTTCAAAAGTGCATAGCTAAATAAATAATAATAATAATAATAATTATTATTATTATTATTAATAAATGGTAGCCATTTAGGCATAATTAAAATTTTACTAATAAGAAATTCACTCTTAAAAAAAAATATCAAAAATTATTGAAATATGCTATATCCTATAAAGAAATATTTATTATTCTTTTATATCAAAAAAATATATTGTATAAAATTACTAATTAAAAATCTTTAATTACATATATTGGAATAATTAGTAAAATCAATATATCCATCAAAATCTTTGAAATGCAGGCACACATAGCCCTTTTTCTAATTAACAAACATTAACATATAGCAATACACAAAACCCAATACAATTATACACGTCAATACAAAAATACAAAGTACTTAAAATAGAAAAATAATCTTGTACTAAATACAAAAGCATTGAGTATATTAAAATACAAAAATATTAATTATTATTAACAAATACAAAAACACTGAGTAATATCAGGGAACAGTGAACCCTGCAAATAATACAAAAGTAATAATTATTATCAAACCAGGGAACAGTGTAATTTCACTGTTCCCTGATCAAACATAAAAATACAGATTATTTAATATACAAATAACACAAAGCATAGCTAGAAGCTTAAAGCATTTGGTTTAATGAAGTTTACTTCAGAATTAAATGATGTAATTCACAATTGCAATTGTTCATTGATTGTTATCAAAAAGAATTCAAAGTTACTGTAATCCAAATTGCTACATCTAAAATTCCTACAGGAATGTGTTTTCACATTAATTTCAATACGTATTTGTTTTATTATGCTATACTGTTGGCTTTTTGACTGCTTATGTTTATTATTTCTTGGTTATCATGATGCTGGAATATTCTGTCTCCGGCTGCGTGCGGATAATTTTGTCTTTGCTTCCAGTATTGACATCTTTGGTGAGGTCTAGATCAGCATAAGTAAGTTGTTTTTCAGTCTGAATAAAACAAAATTAGCAAACAATAAAACTGATGAATGGATAAAAAAAAATATGAATAAAAAAATAAACGCTCTAAGGCATCTATTGTTGAGAAGGGGTTTTAAGGGGGTGTTTATTCAATTGCGGCATTATTTGAGGGAGGCTTCTTTTTGTGTAAAATGATAGGATCTTACTGTTTAAAAAGTTCTACAATAGAAACTCTAAAAAAACTTTTTTTTTTAGATGTTGGCAATGTATTCATACAAATAAACAATTCATATGTGATTCAATAGGCTTACAGTGCATACTCAATACAATTTACTATTAGCTATATTATATTTTAGGTTGTATACATTAATGACTATTCATTACTAAACTAATACTGTACTGCAATTCATTAATAGTAAGCAATTAGTAGAGCTCCGCATAGTACACTATAGGAAAATTATTATTCAATGGTTAGATTTAATGCTTGAAAAAATTTCCTGAGGGCCTGCAAGGCCCGAAGGAAATTTTTGAATCCATTAAATCTAACCTATCTAAGTATAATAATTTTCCATTTAGTGTACGATGCATGCTCTACTAATTGCTTTATAAGTCAATCGCCGTCTTTTAATTATAGTTTTTTATAACCAACTGTTGTAGCAGTCATCTGTTGCTATAGTGATATGATCAGTATACATGTGTGTATTTACATTTAGCTGTGCGTATGCTGATTTTTGCTCCTGCAGTACGCGTTTAACTGCACATCAGCAATACAGTACAGATAGTACAGTACAGATACGATGAATAACTATTGTAATTTGTATTGTGTTAGAAAGAACTTGTTTGTGATGCTATTTTGATAGACTTTCGTCAACGAAATAAACATTTTAGCATTCGAGAGAGAATACAGTCACTGACGTCCTTTTTGTTCAGTGCATGCAGACAGGTAAAATCGTGCGATGATTTCACCAGGCTAGGCTACGGCCGGGGCTATGGCCTAGTAGTAGTAGGAGATCTGGGCGGCCTCCTGCTTGGCCGTAGACCAGGCCCGTAACAAGGGGGGGTTCGGACAAACCCCGCCGTTTGCTAGCTGGCTCCGCTTGGATGGCAAAAAAAAAAAATCTCGAAAGAAGATTGCTTAAACTTAAAAAAAAAAAAAAAAAAACAATCCTGTTCAAATAATCTTTATAGACAGTAACAACTTTTAATACAAGTTTCAAGACGGAATTCTTATTTATGTGGTCAGCGCAATTGGTTGGTCGTTAACATCTTCAAAAGGCTCCATTTTTCCAAATTTGAACCACCCAAAAAAATCCTAGTTACGGGCCTGTAGACCTACATCTAAATTTGTTCCTTGAGTCTTTAAAATAGGTCTAGAATATTCCTATTAAACGTTTGTTGGGTTTATGAGGGTTCTTTTTTTTCACTGAATTCCATAATTGTTCATACTTAATATTGAATTTGAAGTACAGTAACTTTCTTCAGGTTCTAATGTTTTTTCTATTACAATTCAATTTTTATCGCAGTGCGAAAAAACACGAACCTAAAAAAATCAAGCCGAGCATCCGCTAATTGAAAAATTAGTGGACGGTGGGGAATAGGCAAATAACATTGGGAGTTAAAGTGATGACGTCACGACTGACTTATAAATATACTTAGGTCTATATTCTCTACTACTTTTATGTTATTTATCGCAAATGCTTTATAGTTAGGTACTCAACAATGTACAGGATAACCAACAAAAGACTGAAGGCGGCTTATTTTCAGTGGGGTCCTTCTATGGGCGATTGGGCAGTACATCGTGAGAAAACCCCTCTACTCTTTTCTGAACAGTGTACTGTTTTTAAACATGCACATGTGGGGGAATAAGTGTTTTTTGTTCACGTTTTATGATCGGTTTATTTTATTTCTGTTTTGACCATTTCATTTACAAAAATAAATTGTTTGTTTGCCCTTCTTTTTAAAAAAAAAATGGAATAAAAATAACCCACAGAGGCCTAGAATGGCAATAGTATCTAAAATCAGACAACAAATTTAGACTAATTTGCAGGGCATCCGGCTAAAAGTAAAGATAAATTCACTCACATTTTTTTTTAATTTGTAAAGAAAAAAGCTAAAAAAAAATCCCCCTTTTTAAAAGTTTGTTTTGTTTTTCCGCCTCTATTTTTTTCAGTGAGTTAGGGGCGGGTGGTGGAGGGCAAACAAACCTATTTTCTTTTTTTTTTTTGGCCTTATATACACATAAGCTTTGGAATACTAAGTATATAAATAAATTCAACAATCTTATTTTACCCTTCATATTACCACATATTTTATTTTTTCCATGAGTGCTTCTAATTATTTAGCACTGGTATATAAATTTGTAGTAATTGTTATTTATGCATAATTGTATTCTATTTCATGGCTTGGTAACAGCGTAAAGCTATACAACAGCAGTCACCATGATTTGATGCAATGCGGCAATAGTAGTTAGTCTACCTACTGTCTTTCTTATATTTTGCAAGTAATAATCATAAAAAGTAACACACTGAAAACAACAAAAAGACCTTTGCTTGACATATTTCCTTGTCAAAGTACACTGACTGACTCACTTCCCCTGCCAACAAGGAACCACAACACTAAAATCCAAAATCATATCAGCACTTCACTAATACTACAAATCACTGATTTTACTTAATGTTTGTATTGGTGATTGTTAGTAGGAGACCTAAATGTAAAAGTGATTGCTGGCAAGCGATCTTAGTAACGTCAACATGATTAGTAAAGAAATACTCCAAACATTACAGTCCAGAGAAATACTTGATAACAACTACTAAAATAAATAATGTTACTTAAAAAATAAATAGAAAAAACTAAAATCAGCCACTACTTCCTTCTACTAGTTGCCTACTCAGAACATATTTAAAATTTTTTTTATCTAAATACATGACTTATATTGTAATCAAGTAAATCAGTAATATAATTTTAATATCTCAAACAATTTAATTCTTATAAATTTTATGATTTTGTATTTTTACAAAAATACTTACAGCTCTGTCTCTACTGGGTGCACGCTGTGGTTTGTCAGGGGGTTTGGTTTGGGTTACAGCTTGTTCAGAATGCTCTGACTTTGTAGCTTTTACTGACTTTGGTTTTTGTACTTGTGCATAGGTATGAATGTCAACATCAGAAAAGTTTGAATTTAAAACAACTTTTTCTGAGCCACCACCTCTTGCTTTTTTTGCACTATAAGTGGTACAAGATTTAAATCACATTTTTAAATTTCAAAAATGCATAAAATTAATTAATTTTTAAAATTTGTATGGCAAGCATGTGCATAGGAAAAGATACTGTAGGTGCCAGATAGGATATTAGAAGATGGGATCCTTGCATTCGCAGAGAAAAACTACAAGTTATAGTTGAGTCTAAATACACAAGGAAGTATAGCTATAATAATATAATGGTTATAATACACTATAGAAAAGCAGTGCAGAGTAAGAAGAAAAATGAAGCATTTTAATAGCATAGATTTTTATGAGCAGATCTGTAGCTTGGTGGTAGCTTTTCTAATTTAAAAAAAAATTTGCTTTTCAATCTCACAATTCCTGGTTCAAATCTTTGAACTTTTTAATGAACTGAAAAATATACTTTGTTTATAGAGCAACATATTGGCAGGCATATTTGCAGTTAGATGTTATTGAGATAAAAATTATTGTTAAAAAATTATCATATTTATGATTTCACCAGGAATGTAATAGCAACATTCAAGCATGTGTAGGAGGAGAAGCTATTCCATGACAGCACATTGCATTAACAACATATTGCCTTTTCTTTTATTTTTTTTCACTTGGCATTGAGTTGAATTTGCTGGTTCTAGTAAATTACACCACATTAGAATATAGTTATTGTTACCTTTACTTCCTGTGCATATTGGGTAATTCCATGTCAAATCAACCAAACAAAAGAACATCAATCTCTTGGATTTTGTTCATAAAAAAATGTTTAGTTGGTATTGGTGTTATTTTAAAGCTACTGAGTAGCTCTACAACTCCTCAAATCAACCATAAAAAAGTTGCTGTAGGTTAAATATTTCAAAGTTCATTAAAAAAAGATATATATATATATTTTTCCTTCAGAATCATGTTAGATTGACAGTATGATGTAAAGAAGCTTTGCTATAAATTTGTATATAAAACAGTATATTAAACACTGTACACTGTATAGTGAAAGCAACATTATACCAAACTGCTAATTTTTATAAGTAAATGAGAAAATCTAGATCACTTACAAATTCAAGGTTGAAATTCCTTGGGAAATAGGCAAGTTGAATGGCCAAGTGGTTAAAAATGTAAGATTTATCGACATTTTAACATTGATTTGAAATTTATTATAAATGATTTTTCCCATAATTTTTTCTTATGATCTAACTTCAATTTTTGTATTTGTATTTTACATATTTTTACCTTCCCCAGCCTGGTTGTATTTGTTGAATAAATTGAATTGAATTTTCTCATACCTACATATAAAAATTAGCAGTTTGGTTTACTGTTGTATTTACTATGCAGATATTTCTGATCGTTTCTCATGGGTCCCAACCACATACGAAAATTTGGACAAAATCCAAGAGGTTGATGTGTTATTTTTAATGAAAATAGGTAACAAAAACTATATTCTAATGTGGTATGACTTACTAGACTTACTAGAACCAGCAATATCAACTCCATGCCAAGTACAAATTAGAAAAAAAAAAGAAGAAAAAGTGGTATGTTGCCTTATGTCCTTGTAAATGCAATGTGCTGTCATGCAACTGGCTTCTCCTCCTACACATATGCTTCAATGTTATTAGCTATTGCATTCCTGGTGAAATCATAAATTTGATGGTTTTTTTTAACAATAATTTTTACTGTTAGAGCACCCATTACCAAACTTATAGGGAAGCTTCTTTACATCATAATGTACCTGAGTCTAACATGATTTTGAAGAAAAAAAAGATACTGTTTTTATGCAACTTTGAAATTTTTAATCTAAGGCAACATTTTAATGGCTGATTTGAGGAGTTAGCACTTATCTATAAAGATATATCTACTCAATAGCTTTAAAATAACACTAAAATCTGCTCAATGGTGCTACTTACCAGGATAAGGTAAGGTAGTGCTAATTTAGCCCAAACTTCGTTAGTACATAGCTCACTAATTAAGAGGCTTAGAGCAAACATTTTTCATTTCTGATCGTTTCTCATGGGACCCAACCACATACTTTGAACAAAATCTGTGAGATTGATTTTTTTTTTTTTTTGGTTGATTTGACATGGAATTGCCCTGCATTAAAATAATAAAGCAACTTTCAAAACAAGATGCTCTTAAACATTTTACAATAATTGAATATTGATATATATTATTATTAGTTTTAAACTTTTGGAAGATATCAGTCACTTTACCATTCATCTTTGCTATCAGAATGAATGTCATCAACCCTCATTAGCTGCTTTTTTGTGTACACTTAGTGTATTAAATATATTGCTCAAGAAAAAAAAAAAAAATTTTTTTTATAAAAGTTGATTAGGACTATAAAGCCAGTGGCCTCAAAACAGTGATACATGAAGTGCAACTTTCATAGCCATCTATTCTAATAACATATTTTAGAATTTAAACAATTTTATATTACTAGTGGCAGGTAGCATTGCAAAGTTAGTTGAGCTTAATATTTAGCAGTATACAAACAAACATCTTGAAACATTATTTCAATAATTATATCCTTACTTAAATGTACAGTACCAATCATGGGGAGTGCATGTTAGGAAGCGGGCAAACTTTTTTTGGCATGCTGTACAGTATTCTACAGACCGCAGCCGCCTTAAATGCAACATAAATATTTCTGTATTTAGTGTAGTATTTCACGTTTTACAATTTTTCTAAATAACAATTGACTTATAATGTAGAAAGATATCGGAAAATAATTTATGTATACTGTATGACAATTAGGTTCATCTCTATGTTCATTTTATCCATACTTATGTATTGACCTACCAATATGTATTGACATTTATGACGTATCAATATAATATAGGTAGGCCTACATAAATAATACTCTAAGTGATCTAATAAATTTATCTGGTAGGCTTAATATCATTTTCTGTTGAGATGGATGATCATGTTGAAAATTCTAATACAAATTTACCCTATTAGTCCTATCTGAAATTGTAAGCTATGGGTTACAATTATTAGCCAAAAAGTCCTCACATATCCTGTGCACCACTAAAATCTGGACTGCAGGCACTGTGGGCTGGCTTTGCCTATGCAGGGAGTTGATAGATTTGGAACGCGATGCCTGCAGTCAGAAAGTGCACTGCCCGCGATTGGTACTGTAATGTTTAACTTTTTCAAAATTTGCTTAATATCTTTAAGAATTCTAAATATTTTGAGCTAACAAACAAAATTATAACAAAATATATTATTTAAAATATTATTTTTCAAAATTAAATTCTTGTGATAGCTTGCCAAATTGTTTTGCCATCTATAAAATATAAGTTTGTTCTTACACTTCTTCCTTCTTTTACTCTTTAGAAACTAATGATTAAAAGTAGATCAGATTTTACATTTCAGAATTACACACATTATGTACATTGAAAATTTTCAAAATATATACAAAGAATAAAGAAAATAAGGGTTTACCAACTGCTGTACTTACTTTCTACTGAAACAGAGTTTATCATCTGGATAACAAACTATGTAAGAAAATGAAATACATATTATTATAATACCATTATCATCGTAATCATCAGCAACATTATCATTACAATAATACAGTGCACTCTCAAAATGAGTCCCCCTATTTCTGAGACCCTGTAAGTCGAGACTGGTATTTCAAATTTCTAAATAACAATCATCAATTACTAAACAAAAAAAATCCCTCTAATTGGAGACCAAACCAAAAGACCACCCCAAATTATCAGATCCCAAAGTCATCTTAAACTGAACTGAATATAAAAAGACTCATTCAACAAGCAACAGTCAAATCTTGCAAGGAGGCAGAAATAGGAATGAGTATAAAGAGAAAAACTGTTCTTCACATTGTTCATAAAAAATAACATACATAAATATGTAAAAATTAATGAGTTTGTTTCATACCATGTAATATGTAGCCTAACAAATTTTACCAAAACAGTGGCGGATCTAGGATTTAGCAATAGGGGTGGATAATGTGAGGTGCAAAGGGAGGGGGTGGGGTTGGTTTTGGAAGGGAGAGTCTCCTTCAATTTTGGATTTTTATGGAATTAGTAGATGGCTAGAATTTGAAAAGAAGTTAAGCCTAAAATAGAAAGTGTATGTTTTACTAGAGTAGCCTACTGCACGTAACATGTATACACCAGAAGCTCGCACATGAGACGAGTAACCACTTTTGTTCACGATAGCCAAAGGGGAGATGGCTAGCCACCCTATTCCGCTGCCACACCACCCCCCCCCCCCCCCCCCCCCCCCCCCTCCACTC